GGGCGAGATGGTGGTGCTGAGCGCGGCGCGCTGGCTCCGCAGCCGCCTCACCGATCGGTTCTGGAGGGTGCAGGAGGTGCTCAAGTATGCGCGGGTGAGTGAGGGAGGGAAGGAGGGAGGGATTGGGGGTTCCCGCCTCCCCCGGGGGCTGCCCCGGCTTCCCCGGGTCTGTCGCCTCGCTGAGGTGTCCGCCCGCCCTTCCAACCAGCAGCGGGAGGTCAGACAAGTGCCGCTCGGTCCTGGAAATGTCCGGGGTCTGCGGAGATGACTCACGTCAATTGAGCATTTTCTCTGTGTGTAAATTTGCTTGTACTGGAGTAAAATTGGGGCTCACGAATGTGTCTGGTGTTTGTGCCCCACACAGAACGTGTGTGCGTGGGGATGTGCGTGAAGAAAAGCGAGAAGCCTGTGGCAGAAAGAATACAGGAGCAGGCTGGGAATACAGCGCTGCAGGCTGGGGTTGGTTGTGGGGTTTTGTTGGGGTTTTTTTGCTTTGTTTTGGTTTTTTAACTGGGCAAAGGAGCAGGGAAAAAAAAAAAAAGATTTTAACTGTACTTTTCAAGTGTGTTTTACAAGATGAAAGACACTGCGGACTCTTCTCCCAAGTAACAACAACAGGACAAGAGGAAATGTCCTTAAGTTGCACCAGGGAAGGTTTAGGTTGGATATTAGGAACAATTTTTTCACCAAAAGGGTTGTCAAGCGTTGGAACAGGCTGCCCAGGGCAGTGGTGGAGTCACCATCCCTGGAGGGATTAAAAAGCCCTGTGGATGTGGTGCTGAGGGACATGGTTTAGAGGTGGACTTGGCACTGTTGAGTTTACAGTTGGACTGGATGATCTTAAAAGTCTTTTCCAGCCAAAACGATTCTGTGATTTCAACTGAAGTTCAAGCTGTTGTACCTAGGCTTGGGAAGAACCTTTTTCAGCAGCAGACTGTTGATATTCTGGGAGGTAGCACATCTTGCTGTAGTATTGAGATGGAAAATGTTGAAGTAAGTGACAGTATCTTGCTCTTTTAGTGCCTAAGATGCCCACAGTACCAGTGGTGTTTATTTCTCCAACTGCAACACAGGTTCCTTCTTCCTGCTTCATGTTAGATGGATGTCAGTGGTAGCTCCAGTAAACTTCTTTCATTATGCTTTCTGTTTGGGCAACTGCAATTTTTTTTGATGTATCAGAAGATCCTGTCCCATCTCAGTGTTTGTACTGACAAAACTGGGAGGGCAGCTCAGGAATGAGAAAAAATGTCTGAGTTTAGGGGTTGGCTGGAAGCACCAAAGATGATTTTGTGGTTGCCTTTCCCCTAGAACCACAGCCTAAAATGAGGTCTGGTTTTGGCTCTCTCCTGCTGGACTGAAATTTTTCAGCCTGCTCCAACTTTTGAGCTTCAGGTTCAGAATATCATAAAACAACAAAAGAATATTTTCCTTGTATGCCACCTGAAGGCTTAACCAATGTTTGCAAAGTATTTTGTGATCCTTGTTATGAAGAGTTGTGAAATGCAAATGAACATATATTTATTCCTGAAGGGTTTCCCAGCCTTGAAGATAACTGAACAAAGAACATCTGGTTTTCGTTTCAGCATTTTCGTGGAAGGAAGAACCGCTGCTATAAGCTGGCTGTACGGAGTGTTCGGAGAGCTTTTGTGAAGTCTACAAAGGCCAGAAGAGAGAAGAAGAGGTTTCTAAGAGCGGTAAAGAGCCAAATGTTAGATGCAAACATTAAAATGGGAGAAGAGCGGAATTGAAATAGCCATTTTCCTTGGTTCTCTCAAAATGTTCTACCAGTGGGTGAAAAATATGAATTTAAAGTAAGCATAGTCCCTCTGTGGTCTGAAACAGCTCACGTTCTGAAGCTCATATGTGTATATGTTGCACCAAGAAGACTGTAGGTCTGAAAATATTATATTTACTAAGTGTGAGCAGATCAGCATGACAAAAAGTTTACTTTTAAAGTATTTTGTCATTTAAGATGTTAATTTTTACACTTTTAGCTTTGGATCACAAGAATTGAAGCAGCTTCTCTTGAACATGGTTTGAAATACCCAGCTTTCATAAGCAACCTGCTTAAGGTAAGGATGGTACTTGAAAAATAGTTACTTTGAAACAGCAAATTGGGGAAAATGTCTGATAGAGGCTTTCTGAAGTGCCAGGTGAATTAATTTCTAAAAAGTGTGAAATCTTTCGAGTTTATGTAGCCTGACAAAACATATCAAAGGGTTGCTGGTTACTGTCTGAGACTGCAACTGCAAGGAATTGAAGCTGCAGCCGCCCCTTGCCAATCTTTGAAGAATAATGGTGGGGATTTCCAAATGAGCGGGCAGTAGCAGCATAGGGCATGGTTCAGGGATTGAAAAGCTCCTTCTGTCAGGCTGAACTTCTGCCAACACTGTCCTGCTTCCTCATTCTAGTGATGAAAGGCCTTCTGCTTATGGACGGAGTTTCATTCACTTCAGGAACTAAGCTCTGCCCTAAACCTGTTTTTCTTCCTTATATGCATAATCCCCTTTTATCCCAGTGAACATTGTTGCTTTACACCTTGTTCTGTCCCCAAAACTTTTACTTCAAGAACGAGACTTGTAAAATGCTTTTACACTTGTTGCTACTGTGGGTGTTAAGTGACAGCTGCCTTTACTTCAAGAAATTTAAAAATATAAAGCTTGGATTAGTGGAACTGCGCATAATTTTAAAGGACCAAGATGCCTGTCCCTTTTATTCTTGTCTGAGAGCAATGTATTTTTGTAAGGTTCTCTGTTAGCAAAGATCCAAAAGAGGCAAACTATTTTATATAATACCTCTCTCTTAGAATATGCAGTTAACGGTGCAATATCAAGTGTTGTTAAGAGTGTTTGATCCTGCAGTCTTTCTTTCTCTGCTCCAGGATACATTTTAAGATACCAAGCAGCTTCTAGCACGACTAATAAATATCTCTAAGAACTGAAACAAATGCCATGGATTAGCCTGTAACACGTGGCCTTCCGTTAAATAAGACATTCTTCAGTTCTTGGTTTCTACCAGACTTTGAGAAACTCAGTAAACAAATGTTACACAGTGGCTTAATGAGACATCCATGGCCAAGCTGTCATGTCTGATGGTTCTGGAAGTTCTTCCTCCCTGGAAGTGTTCAAGGCCAGGCTGGATGAGGCTTTGAGCAACCTGGTCTAGTGGAAGGTGTCCCTGCTGATGGCAGGGGGGTTGGAACTGGATGAGCTTTAAGGTCCCTTCCAATCCAAACCATTCTATGATTCTCTGACTAATAGCTCCAAAATTGTACAGCACAGACAAAACAGCAATTTGCCTTAAGACCTCAGATAATCATTAAACATTGTGGTGTTGTTCCTGGAAATTACAGTACTCAACCAACAGTTTTTCTTGCATTTAGTCGCAGGTGGAGCTCAATAGGAAAGTGATTGCTGATTTGGCTATTTATGAACCGAAAACGTTCAAGTCCCTCGCTGCCTTAGCCCAGAGGAGGAGACAAGAAGGTTTCCTTGCTGCCCTGGGAGACGGAAAAGAACCAGAGGGGATATTTTCCCGTATCGTACACCGCTATTGATATTCAGAGT